AAGGACAAGTGGCAGAATGTAAGGTTTCGTGCCCAAAACATTACGCAATGAGTCATACATATTCGGAATCAGCGTCGAATTCTGAGTAAAACTGTATTCTCAGGTCGTTCAAATTCGCGAAAAAATTTTAGGGCAAAGGTCCCCCTCAGGGACCCCCTAGTGATCTTAAAGTTTCTCTCAGAAGCTTTTCAACCATATCATTGGATAGCTCCTTCAATTCTTCATAAAATAATGATAATGATAAAAAAAATGGTGATTTAAATACCGATAACTCAACATACCTGGCTTCTTTTTATTATTTTTCAAATTATCTTTTTTATCTTTTTCATTATTATCAGTTGGTGGTGCTTTGACAATCAGTTTCAGTTTAACTTCGTTATTCTGTTCGTATTTGACAAATTCCCTAAGGTCACCTTTCCATTTTGGATAAGCGTTATTTATATCACCACCCGCCTTAACTTCTAAACCAAAAAGAGCAGCTAGAAAAGTCTGATAGAATAATTATTATTATTGAGAGTAAAACTATTGGTCGATACGGACTAGATATATACTAGAGTTAAAGTTAGATACTTTAGATCCGTAATTTAATTTAATTTAATTTTAATTTTAAATTTAATAAAACAACAAACGTTTCGACCTCTTATAATTGAGGTCTTCTTCAGTGTACGTAATAAAATATATAAAAGTATAAAATATAAAATATAGTTAAAATTCTATTTCATCTAACTTGTGCAGATTTAAAATGTAGATTTAAAATGTGGAGTGACTGCTCAGCAAGCAGTCACTCTACATTTTAAATCTGCATAAGTTAGATGAAATAGAATTTTAACTATATTTTATATTTTATACTTTTATATATTTTATTACGTACACTGAAGAAGACTTCAATTATAAGAGGTCGAAACGTTTGTTGTTTTATTAAATTTAAAATTAAAATTAAATTAAATTACGGATCTAAAGTATCTAACTTTAACTCTAATTATTATTATATTTACCTTCAGCTAAAAATGCCAATATTTTAGATTGTGCCATTGGTTTTACACCTGCATAAACCTGCGCGGGTGTATATACCAAATTTTTAACATATTTATGTAAACCATCTGGAACAAAAGAACGTAGCTATTAGATTTTTCAACTTTCTGTGTAGGAGGAGGTGAAAAAACAACAGACCTACCGTAATTTTGAACAATAAGATCATAGACTATTTTATCCATGGCGCAATTTTGCGCTAAATCTGAAAACAAAAGCAAAGCGAACATTATAAGCGCATTTTTAGAAGGGCTGTCGGAAAAGTAAAAATAGTACTATACGGCGCTACCATGAATTCTCAGATTCTAGTATACGCCGCTTTTATACAGCACATGAAACAAACATGAAATTAAACTTCAGAATAAAGCATTTCTACAATTCATGAAATTTCGAATTTTGGAATGTTAGAATTTTACAATTTATGATTTTAAGAATTGCAGAATATTAGAATTGCAGAATTTTAGAAATCTAAAATTCTAGAAGTCTAATATTCAAAAAGTAGGAAAATCTAAGTGTTTAAAATTCTTAAATCCGAAATAAAACGGAAAAATTATAACAGTCTACAATTATAAAATCTTTTACTCATACACGCTTACTCACATACTTATAGAGACACCGATACGTCGGCTAACAAAAGCAGTTAAAAAAGGAGACGCGTACACTAGAACTTTAGAATTTTTAAATAGACAAAACAGTGTTACTTCTACTATTCCAACACCTCTGGATTTTAGGGGACACGGGATAAAACTGCCAAACAGAAACTGCCTGAAAAACCAAATAAAAATTCCAACTTCATCTTTATTCTAAACAAGTAGAAAAATAACATATATCTGACAAGAAAGGAAAAATTAGTTCACAGTCTAGAAACACAAGCAGAAAAACAACTAATTGATCTGAACTTACAATAACAGAAATAAAACAATGCTCAAAAAAGCAAAAGATTACTAATATGTACATACAATTTAGAAAAAGAGAATTACCGTCATAAACGACAAAAACAGTTCAAGAACACAAGAGTAAAATACGGTCAGAAAAATTAAATGTTCAAAAATTCAACAGAAATAAAACAATGCTCAAAAAAAAGTAAAAAAAATTACTAATATGTACATACAATTTAGAAGGAGAGAATCACCGTCACAAACAACAAGAGCAGTTCAAGAACACAAAAGTAAAATACAGTCAGACAGAAATAAAACAATGCTCAAAAAAAGTAAAAAATTACTAATATGTACATACAATTTAGAAAAAGAGAATCACCGTCACAAACAACAAGAACAGTTCAAGAACACAAGAGTAAAATACGGTCAGAAAAACGAAATGTTCAAAAATTCACCATGAGCAAAATTATCTGGAAAGAAAGTAGTATAACCAAAAAAAATACTGTTCATTGGAAGTTTGTTCCAAAATCTCGCGGTTTTGACATTGTTGAAACTAAGTTATTATTATTTAACGATATACGACGTGTATTATTTAGTATGGGACGACTTGTGAAACCATTTGGATGGACCATGTTTATGCCTTTCGTATTTAACTTGATTTAAATTTCGCGGTTGATTATTTTCAGCTGCAGCAATGCTCGACTTATAAACGGCTGGTGCTGGTGTTGTTTTTACTGCTTCTTTGATTTTTGCTAAAGTGGAAGGAAGTGTTCGACGATATGTATGTGATGTTTCTAATGTCTTCGTATTTCCATGAGAACGTTGTGCAGCGTTATGTTTGTCGCCTAGAAAAACCAAACAAACGTAATAAACTTACTTTTAAGCTTTTCAGACGTTACTTACCAATATAAATAACAATTACATCATGTGGGTTGCTAATTGATATATATGCGTGTTTAATAAAACGATTCTCAATACTTTTGTCCGAATTTAAACATGTAAAATAAGTTTTACGGAAAACTTTCTGTTTTTTGTGAAAATCAAATGTGCCGTTGTTTTTCCACACAAAACCATCGACTTTCCAGTCATCTGTAAGAGAAAACAGAAAAGGGCACAGTTGGAAGACGCAGTTTGTGAAAATAAAATATCGTTAAAAAAGATCAGGATGAGTTGACCTGACGAGCAGATCCGCGATAAAAAATTTCGAAAAGATGAGTCGACATGTCTCAGGGGAAATCTTTTGATGCTGTCTCTTCCATAAGTTTGGGCGGAGGATGAGTCCATCGTTCTGATTCTCCCTACGTAGGGCTCCGAAAATATTCTTTCATGAGACGAGTCGACATCTACTGAAGGATGAGTCCACTAATCCTTCAGTTTCTTTTTCTTCGGAACAAGCAATGAAAGTATTCGTTTATCAGACGAGTCACCACACCCTCATAGGATGTGTCAACTTATCCTTCTTAGTGTTAACTGATCTGAACCATCTAACCTCACAGCGCCCCGCGCATTCAACTGCAGGCGCGGCCTGTGTCGATTTTACCGGGATTTGTCTTCGGAACCGACACAGGCCACCCAAAAGCACAACATTTCCTCAACACATTAAACCAGAATGAGGATTAGTGGAAGAGGAATAAAAGCCAAAATCTGTCTCTTTTACCCTTAGTTGTTTCACTTAACGATAATCGATAAACGGTGTTGCCTATTATATCATGAGGCAATGCATCCAGCTTGGGCGCAGAATCAAGAGTTTTTATTAATTCTGAAATTTTCGGTTTTTCGATATCGACAATTATGGCACCTAAACAGAAAAGAGACATTCATGTCTATTGCTGCTATACGAAAGTCACTTTTATACATACTCATTAGTTTTTGTTTAATTGTAAAACGAAATCAAAATACTGTTCTTTAAGACAAGAAAAAATGAGTTAATTATCACACACGGCTAATCTAACTAAGACTAAGACTGTTTATTTACGAAAAGTGAGAGTCATCAAAGATCACTGACCTGTAATAACTCGAGCCAAACAACAACAAAAGAGTAAAAATACAGCTTCCCCTGCGCAGAACTGAACTCGCGACGGTTTTCGGTTGTTATTTTTTCACTTTTGTTGCTGTTCACTGTAAAAAATGTCTCGTGTCTAACTAGACGCGCAAGTGTCTAAAAATAAGACGTTTGTGAGTGTGATGAGCGAGAACTTTTATTCAAAATAACGTATCTTTTGTTCATTTTATGTATCTTCACGTCATTTTCCAAGATGAGTAAGGGGATACGAGTCTAAAACGGCTTCTTTGGCGACGCATTTATCTCTAAGTGCTTGTACTGGGTCGAGAGAATCGTTTAGCTCTTATCTCATCGAAGAATTGCTTCTTTGCTTTGAGTGTTTCTAAGATCGCGTTCAGACCACAATAAATAAGCCAGAATAAGTTTTTCACCGTTTACAGGTATTTATTTATGAGCATTTATTCTTATTTTGACTTATTGTAGTCTGAATATCGCCTGAATGAACCAACAAATGAAAAAATGATAAATAAAAAAACCACTGTAATTTTAGAATGGATGTAACTTCTCCTTCATTATTATTTTGTTTTCTAACAACCTTAGATTAGATACGATGATTATTTAATTTTCTATTGACGGCTTATGCAAAATAAAGACGATTCTCGTAGATTCATATTATAATCGGGTCTATACCTATTTTTTTACTGAATGTATTGTCTCAACTGTTTTTTGTACGAATTCTATGTTCGCGTCTATAACAGCTAAAGTTATAGAAAAAACAACTTATTATTTATTGTTCAACTCTTTCTTTTGTTTTAGTTACTAGCCCAAGTACGCGAACTTCGGTTTTACTAATTTATATTTATTTATTCATATGTGTATTGATGATAATTTCTTACAATCATTGTAATTTTTCTTTTTCATATCTGATTTGTTGTAAAAAAGTTCAACCACAAAATGGCTATTTGTTTTTTCCCACTTAGGTGGTGCGTAGTAGAAATGCTTAGGTTTTGATCGCGTATGATCTGTTTATTGGTGATTTCTGAGTTTTATTTGCAGTGTCTCAAATGAGCGTAGGGAAGGGTGGTGATTTCCCTACGGGAAAAACTTTATCAGACACTTTCTAAAAACGTTTTGTATTTTTCATCAGAGAATATTTTCCGAAATTTTGTTTTCACCTAAAAGTCTGCTAAAAAGCTTTTTGTGAAATTTTTTCAACAAAGAGAAACAAACATAGCTTGAACTACTCTTTCTTTTTTCATCAATGAAGACTGATTTACATGGGTATTCTTAGAAAGAGGAGGATAGAGCATAGTTTTAGGACAGATCTAAATGGAGTTTTAAAGGAAAGGAAAAGCATACTTGAATCTGCATTGCCTTGCATTCCACTCAAAAGCTGATTTCTGGATTGCTTTTTCCAGATAAAACTTTCATTTTGTTTCTTTCTTTTGAGTTAAAGAGTGAGAAACCATTGGCGGTTTTCAAGGAACTTTTCGTTATTCCCGTGCAGTTCAGAAAACAAACATTTGTCTGTTTGCATCTGATATCCAAGGGAAAACTCAAGTGAAAATAACTTGTTTTGTTCAAGAGCAACTGAGTTTGAAGACTGAAGTCATTTTCGATCTTCAAACTTTTTCTTCTGCACAAAATTGACTTGTTTCCTTCAGTTTTGCCTTGAATTTCAGATGTAAACAGACAAATGTTGACTTTCCGTGCTCGAAACGCCTAAATAAGACGCTTGAAATCAGTCTGAGCGACTGGGTTAAAACGACAAATTAGAAAAAAACCGACGTGTCTAAAATCGATCATTTTCTGTCTTAACAAGATGGTTCATGTGTCTGATTTTTTGATATTTTGACCAATAAAGAAATGGTCGAAGTGTCTAGATCAGACGCGTGACCGTCTTTTTTAGACATTTCATCCGTCTTCTTTTTTTAGAGTGTGCTATTTCGCCATTTTTTGGTTTCTTTTTCCTTCCTGAATATATCAGCCACAGTCCACACTTTATCCAACCAATCATCAATCTTAAGCGTTAAGCTTAAGCAAAAATCTTAAGCGTTTTAATCTCACCCTAAAAATGATCTGTATGACCTATGTAGAACGGATAAATGGCCGACAACGTTAATGAATACGAATGTTAAAATAGTGAAACCGAAATCAATAACGACACATTTTTCTTTAGCACTACGATACGTTCCAAAAAATTTAGCTGACGATTTCGTTTTCAGTGAAATAAAGAAGTCGATTAATAGTGCAGAAACGTGTCATCCAATATTGGATGCATAGGCATAGACAATTGGCCAATTGTCTGTGCTTATGCAAGAATGAAGAAAGATTATCGTTTTAATGCGGGGGATTTGGAGGAGTATTACGAAGCCTTAAACTTGGAAAGATTAGTCGTAGGGAATTATTTACTTACAGTTACTCCTTATTTGCCTGCAAATAAACTTACCTACTGTTCCAGGTGCTTTAAATTGGGACATATCGCTGCTGATTGTCAATGCCAGCATCCAAAATGTCGAGCGTGTTTAAATCTTTTTGACAATAATCATAAAAATCAGTGTGGCGGAAGATTTATCTGCGCAGTGTGGAGGCAATCACTTCTCTCTAGACGGAAACTATTGTTTAGAGCTAAACAAGGCGGTTAAACAAGCAGTTGAAAAAGGTGAATTAAATTATGACATTGGTTCACAACAATTAAAACAAGTAAAGCAGAGCGATTATCATTATGATGAAAATGCATTCTCCTCGTTAGAAAGAGATGTTAGATATGGTGGAAACCAGTGGAGGATACAGCAAAACAATAATAATAATTACAACGGTAAAAATAAAAAAGACTTGATGGATATATTAACAAAACTTGATAACAAAACAGATCAAATAGTGAATGAGATTGGGATGATAAACAAGAAACTAGATAAACAGGCTGCCGCTATTAATCGGAATGAAACACATATTATTTTGAACAAAATAATTACAGCAGAGTTTATTTCAACAGTAGTGGATTTTATTAATGATATTGGAAAACCAATAGTTAAATTAGTAACAAATGATAAGGTCCCATGTCGACTATCGCGATAAAGCCGCGGCGCGAACGCGTAACGCGATCGTTTATAGACTCGCGAAATTTCTCGCTAATTCCGCGATCGCTATAAAGTCGCGATGAAACGCGAGTTTTTCCATACATTTGCTATAATCGCTACGCGACTCGCGTTTTTTATTAGCTAATCAATCGCGATTTTCCATTCTCGCGGTGCGAGTTCTATTGTCGCGGCGCGACCCTTCCTCGACTCACGAGAAAGCCGCGATTTGTATAAATTTGCTCCCAATAGCCGTTTTTTTGGAATTCGTGCCGCGACTAAGCAGATTTTTGCTATTAAATGTCGCGATTCCGGTAGTCTCTCCGGGACTACGCGACTTTATAGCGATCGCGTCGCGACTCGCGAGTCTTCTAAAATACATATGTATATTTATATAAAGATAATATATATATAATATATAGAGTAATATATTACTCTCATCTGCAAAATAAGTTCGGTGAATAGCGACTCACCCGCGATCGCGGCGCGACTACGGGAGTCCTGTCGCGGTTAAAAAAAGTCGCGATCAAATTTTATTCTTTTATCGAACTTGATAGCGACTCGCGTCGCGACATCGCGAGTTCACAGCGATCGCCATAGCGATAGCGCGATCGCGCCGCGAGTTAGACGCGAGCGTCGACTTGGGGTGGATTTAACAAAAGTCATGGATGATTATGTTAAAAAACTACGCAGTATTGAAAAAAGATTACGTTTAAATTTTCAATTTGAGGATATGCCAACGAGACCGAACAGAATAACAACAAACGACGAAGTTAATTCTGACATTTCCATGAATAATAACTCACTACTTACAACAATGATACCGAATTCAAGTAGTATAACAACGTCAGTAGAAATAGAAGTAAGAAATGGTCCAGAAGAAAACACGAATATCGTTTCATCAATCTAAGATTGAATGAACCCGTTAGTTTTATCCCCCTATAGTTTTAAATAATCCACTAGAAAAAGCAATATGCAGATTACAGCAGTGTAAAGTTCCAGAAAAAATAAGAAAAAATGTTATTAGGTTTTTGTCTGAGTGGTACTCAAGTAGCACATTGGAAAATATCTTGAGGAAATGGGAGTTATTCGGTGAAAGAAATAGTAATTCAGTTAAGTGTAAACAAATACCACTAAATTTCCTTCTTTAATGTCCATGGATGGAACACTCGAGCTTTCGAAGTCGTGGATCTTATATATAGCCGTGATATCTCTTTTTGTATATGTACTGAAGTAGGACAGTTATGGGAGAATTTCAAAGTACCGAAATTTGTTATTTTTCATCAGGAAGGAACCAATAATAGTGGGGGAGTATGTGTCGTTGTAGGTAAACATCTAAAAGCAGTTAGAGTTGAAACACGAATTGCAAACACAGTTATAGTAGATATAGTAAGATTGTCTGAACCCATCCGAGTGATAGGTATTTACTGGCCTAACCGTCAGGATCGAGATCTCGACGATCTTTTACCATACATAGTCAAAAATATAGTACTAGCAGAAGATTTTAACGCAACTGTAATGGGATGGGGGATTAATCAAAAAGCAGGGCCTGCAAGATTTAGTTCCCAAGGATTTAGTTCCCTTTAATTAAAATACGGAAAAAAGATACTTCTAAAAAAGTTGAGGATTTAGTTCCCTTTTCTTTAGTTCCCTTTTTTTAGTTCCCTATATCAATTAACTAATTAAGGAAAAGAGAATGTATAACTTTGTTTTCTATTCTGCCATTCAATTAAGAAACATAATGTAAATGTAACTAAATTATTAACTAAATGTAAGCTAAATTA